AGCCCCGCGAGGAAGAAAGGCGCTCTCAGTGCCCGGAGCAGAGATGCTTATCGTCCCCTGGGAACTTCTGCTAGCGCAGGGGAGAAAAGAAAAAAGGAAAGACCTAGACTGAGGCTCCGAAGCCAAGGACCCAGGGAGGCGCCTGCGGAGCCGGCGCCTCCGAGTTCCCACGCCACCCTGGGGTCGCCTCCGACGGAGCGCGGGCTCCCCGCGGGTCGGCCCCGAACTCGCCTGGCTGGTACCGCCCGCTCCACGGAGCCCCCCGCTCTGAATTGTCTAACTTAATACAGTTCAGAAGAAAGGGGGCACCCGCTTCCTCCGGCGGCTGTGGGTGAGCGCGCGGGGCCGTAGCTGCTGCGGCGGGNGGCGGGTGTCGGCCCCGCACGAGTGGCCTCGGTGGCGGAGGCTACACATTCGGTCATTGGGCGAAAAGCATAGAACTCGGGTCCCGTGTGCGCGCTTAGCAGCTTTTACAGAGTCCCAAGAACAAGTGTTGGTGTAATCCTGTTGAGTTGTATGATTAAAACCGGAATTCCTAGGTAAGTCGGGAGGCTGCTCTTCATTACGGAACGAGCGTCCCCCTGGCTGGGGAGGGGCGCCTCCCTGGGAACTTGATTTTCTGGGAGCTGGTAATGCTCCGAGGGCCCATTTTCCTGGCTCAGTCTGGAAAGCGACTGGCAGTAGGTAGCGAGGGTGCTGGGTACGCCTCGCACTTGATCTCATTAGCTCTGAACAGCTCCAAGGTGGGTAGTAAAGGCACCGTTTGCTGATTAAGAAAGGAGGCCGAGGCGTAACTCGGAGAAGGTTAATGCGCTCAGTGGTTAGAAAGCTGCGTTTGGAGCTAGACTGCTTGGGTTTAAGTTCACTCTGCCTTTGCTGCTTTTGTGACCTTAGACAATTACTTAACTTTCTGAGTCTTAGGAGACGTGTTGCTTTTGCATTTGTAAGAGAGGAGCAGAAATAATGTCCGTCTCCTAGGACAGGGGTTGGCTGAGCAGTAAGAGAAGGATCCGCGTAAAGCCCTAGCGCAGAGCCGAGCAGGGCAGCCTTTTTAGCTTTATTGTCGGTCATTTCCCAGTGGGTGGCAGAGGTGAAGCTGCCTTCAGGTCTGGGTGTTTCACTACCGCATATGCCTGTCTCCTAAGGGTTGGGTTTAAAATAGTCCACGCTCAAGAAAATGTTGACCAACCCACCGGCCTTTGCCTGGGGCCTGCAGGGGAAGGAGTCTGCTGGTTGCTCCCGTCGGTTTTCCTGTTTCTCCTTCTAGAAGTCAGCTTAGGTAAGGAAGTGTTGCCAGTCAAGGGGCTGGCAGGAAACCAGATTCATCAAGATGTTACAAATGAAGAGGTTTTAAGGAAGGTTGTAATGGTTTTTAATGACCGGTAGGGGTGTTTAAAGGAACCAGCAGGGGGATGATGCCCGGGGACTCAGGGCCACCGGGGACTCAGGGCCACCGGGAGCCGCTCTCCCCCGGGCGCCCAGGTGCAGGGAGCGGTTCTCCGACGGCAACCCAGCTGAGGCGGAGCTGGAGGGGCAGCCGCTGGAGCAGTGGTAGTGGAGGGGGGGTTACTGTTCCCAACGATGCCCAAGTTACACTTGGCCTTTCTCTGAAAAATCTTTTTCTCCTAGGATACGTTTCTTGGTCCCTCTGGCATGGCCTGCCTCCAATGATCTACTACTTTCCTCTGCAAACACTGGAACTCACCGGGCTTGAAGTTTTTGGCCTAGCGTACCTTTCTCCGATATTCCTAACAATTCCTTCTTTCTGGAAGTTGGTTAACAAAAAGTGGATGCTCACCCTGCTGCGGATAGTTACTGTTGGTGAGATTTTAAAGTATTCCTTGAAGTTCTTTTTCTAGTTAAAAAATCAACTGAAAGTATGTAGCCTGGTCTTAAATGCTAAACGATTGAATTAAAAAAAAAAAAAAAAGATTTCTCTTTCTCTTACTACTACCTTAGGAGAGTTTTAGTAAAATTGGAAGACTAGACCAAAAGCCAATGTATTTTACATTTCTAACTTTTCCATCAGTTTAGAAAAGCCTAAAAATCACTGAAATGAAGAGGGGAAAGAAACCCTGGTAAACAGGTCAACTCTTGAATATATGGTATTTCGTTTTCCCCCCAAATATGACACAAAACTCAGAAACCATTAAAAATTATTAAATGCTACTGCATAAAAACATGAAAATTATGCATGACAAAACCATAGTGAGCAAAATCAAACAACAATGTAGGAAAAATATTTGCAACTCTTTCAGTTGAAGGGCTAATTTCCCTGATACATGGGGCTTTCACAAATCAATAACAAAGAAGGACCAACAACTCAGTACAAAAGGGGGCAAAGGCTACCATCAGTTTACTGGAAATGAAGTATAATTGGTTCTTAAAACTATGCTAAAATGTGTAGAATACAAATCATACTCACACTATATTTATATATAGTTTTACCTGTTGGACTGGCGAAAAACAAAGTCTGATAACACTGTATTGTAAGGATGGGAAGCAGAGACTCATCCGTGGCTGGTGGGAATGTAAGTTGGCAAACCTCTGCGTAGGATAATTTAGCCATATTTATCAATATTGCAAATGTGTACATACTCTTTCATCTAGCAACTCCACTTCTAGGAATATGTCTTACAGTTACACTCACATATGTGTAAAGTGACAAAAATACAAAGTTATTTAATCATTACAGCAATATTTTAATAGCAAGATTGGAAATAACCTAAATGGCATTTGTATGGGATAAATTGAATAAATTATGGTTATGAAACTTGAACGAGTAGGCATACTCTGCATCTATAAAAAAGAATAAGAACTATTATTTATGTAATGAAATGGAATGTTTTTCAAAATATAGTGAAAGGAAACACTAAATGGTGTGCAAGATACTAACATTTGTGTAAAAATAAAGTTAGATGAAAATATATTTAGTGTTTAACTGAACATGCATTAAATAGCTTTAGAAAGATTTTTAAAAGCCAATAGCATTTTAGGTGCTTCCAGGGTGAAAAATATGGTATTTAGAGATAGGCACTGTATACCCCTTGGACCTCTTGAATTCTGAATTTAAGAATGTTACATTGCTAAAAAGTAGCAATTAAAGTTTTTTTTAATATACTCTTACTATCACTAAGAATTGAGCTTATTGATATTAGTAAATATTGAGAGACACTGGCGAAATAATGGTAGTAAAAAAGTAAGAAGGTGAGATCATGGAGAAAAGATTAAAAAACAAACCAAAAACCCCACCAGACTCCAGTCTGGTTGAATGCGTAGCTGAAAACTCCGTGTATCTTGCCCTTGAGCTGGAACTCAGGCAGTTTCTCTGAGTTTTCCAGTGGCATTTGTTTATGAACTTGGCCGTGTATTTCTTCTGTCTGGAAACAGTGGACTTGGTTTCAGAAACACTGACAGGAGTCACCTGGAAGTTGCTTCTGCTTTTCTTTTGTGTGCTGGTCCCTGAGGAAGGCAGAACACAGTGCGGTGAGCTCTGGGGCTACCCACCAAGGTGCAGAATTCTGGTTTTTAAAGAGCTTGGGCTCAAGAAGAACAGTGGTAAAGACCACTGAAAAAATGGGCCCTTTACAAAGATGGCGCCATAGGAACAGAAGGACATATCAAAGGGCTGTGAAATTTTCTGTCCCAGAAATAACAGAACCGAAGCTTTCTATCCTAAATTGAGTATATAGTAACTGAGTTCAACTACCCTTGGCTTGCAGTATCCTTCTGTGAATTACGATGGCCTGAGTGTCACAGTCTCATTTTTTAATTTTCCCCCCATACTTAAATTTCCTGTAAGCTTTAAAAAAAATAATTTATTTAAAATTTAAAAAATTTTTCAATTACAGTTGACATTCAATATTATATTAGTTTCAGGTGTACAGCATAGGGTTAGACATTTATCTAACTTACAGAGTGATCCCCCATAAGTCTTGCACACACCTGACATAGTTATTACAATATTAATGACTACATTCCTTAAGCTGTGCAAGTTTCATTTCCTCATCACTCCCTGCTTGGCTCTTTTGGGAGTGATCTCATTACTGGCACCTTTTTTTTTTTTTTAAACATATCTTTATTGATTTCAGAGAGAGGAAAGGAGAGAGAGAGAGAGAGAGATAGAAACATCAATGATGAGAGAGTCATTGATCAGCTGCCTAACCCGCAACCCGGGCATGTCCCCTGACTGGGAATCGAACCCCGATCTCCTGGATCCTAGGTCAATGCTCAGCCGCTGAGCCACGCCCAGCCGGGCATTACTGGCACTTTTTCATTGCCTTTGCTCCATGTGCTTTTCCTACAAAGCCACCATCTGAGCAGTTTTTTATCAAGTCCACTTCTGGCCCAGGAGCTTCTGGCGGCTATAAGAGATGTGATATTAAATACTTTTTGGGTGGCTGTGGTATTTGGGATGCTTCCTATTACTCCCCTTTCGCCTCCTTCCTCCATGAAACTCATCACCTTGGGTAGAATTATATTTGAGAGAGTGTAGTAGTGATGCAGAGTTGAGGGCGAGGAGCTGGCTTCTGCCAGATACTCTTCCAGGTAATCAGTGAGCTTTGTGGCTGCTAAATAGAGGCTGAAGTAGGCCATCATTTGCCCTAAAACTCCCTTCAGATGCTTCTTAAGGAAATGAAACAACTTCATTAAAGAGTCCTAAGGTATTCTTACGTAACTACAGAGAAGAGCTGAGTGTTATGTGCTCTCTTACCTTTGGCACCTCAGATATTTTAAGCTAATTACTGTGACGTTAACTATTAAACTAGTTCATACTCCTATTGATTTTGCTTATTTTTTACCTTAAAGATTTTGACCCACTAGAATTGCTGTAATAAAAAAGATAGACAATAACTAGTGTTGGCAATACTCACACATTGCTGCTGGGAATGTAAAATGATGCTGCTGCTTTGGAAAACAGTTTGGCAGTTCATAAAAATGTAATCATATGACCCACCAACTCCACTCCTTGATGTATACCAAGAAAAATGAAAACAAATGTTCATATTAGCGTTATTTATAATAGCCTAAAAGTGGAGAAAACCCAGATGGTCATCAGTTGATGAATGGATAAACAAAATGCTATACATCCATGCAATGAAATATGATTCAGCCGTGAAAAGGAATGATGTCCTGGTAACATGCTACAACATGGATAGACCTTGAAGATATTATGCTNGTTGATGAATGGATAAACAAAATGCTATACATCCATGCAATGAAATACGATTCAGCCGTGAAAAGGAATGATGTCCTGGTAACATGCTACAACATGGATAGACCTTGAAGATATCATGCTTAGTGAAAGAAGCCAATTACAGAAAACTACATATTATATGATTCATTTATATGAAATTTCAAAAATAGGAAAAATGTATATGGACAGGAAGGGGCTGGGGTGGAAGAAAAGGGAGTGATTGCTAACAGATATGGGTTTCTTCTTGGGATGATGAAATTATTCTGGAGTTAGTGGTAATAGTAACACATCTTTGTGAATATATTTAAAACCATGAAATTGTACACTTCAACATGGTGAATTTTATGATATGAATGATAATAAAATTTAAAAAAAGATTTTATACACCCACAATTTTACATTAACTCTCTCTTTCTGAGTATAAAAATGGCATCAGACACAACAGTTATGAAAGGCAGAGGGTTGAGTACCAATGCATGATTTGCCAGGAACATTTAACTCTCCGTAATTTGTTTGTAGGCAGCATAGCCTCCTTCCAGGCTCCNTTTATACACCCACAGTTTTACATTAACTCTCTCTTTCTGAGTATAAAAATGGCATCAGACACAACAGTTATGAAAGGCAGAGGGTTGAGTACCAATGCATGATTTGCCAGGAACATTTAACTCTCCGTAATTTGTTTGTAGGCAGCATAGCCTCCTTCCAGGCTCCAAATGCCGAACTCCGGCTAGTGATCCTGGCGCTTGGCGTGTCTTCCTCGCTGATAGTGCAAGCTGTGACGTGGTGGACAGGAAGCGGTTTGCAAAGGTATGGTTCATATCCTGTGCACCTAGAGATAAATAAGTGTAGTGATCAGTTACCAAAGGGGAAGTTGGGACCAGGAGTTCCAGGTTATAGTATTTACCTCCCATCTGGCCTCGTAGAAGTCTCTTTTTTCCCCCTTTTCACAAAATCAGGGCATGAATACCTGCCACCAGTCTTAATAATGTCTTGAGAATGAAGGAATTTTGACAAGTTGCCTAGGTAATGGGCTAGATAAAGGCCAAGTCATGTATATTACTGCAAATTACCAAGCAGAATATTTCATATACTCATTCTATGGAAGTCTGAAATTCATGATGGATGCAGCTCATTGAAACCACATAAAAAGCCTTTAAAAATACTTTTGCACTTACAGGTACCTCAGAATCTGGGGATTCATTTTAGGGCAGATCCTTCTTCTTGCTCTCCGCATATGGTACACTTCACTAAACCCAATCTGGAGCTATCAGGTGTCCAACAGAGTGATACTGACGTTGAGTGCCATAGCCACCCTTGATCGCATTTCCACAGGTACGTGTGTGCCCAGTCCATTTAGGGATTTCCTCTCTTGCATAGTTTATATTTCTGAACTAAATGTAACATCTTGGAAAGATAAAAATGGTCCTTCTGCGCTGTTTCTCTCTTTCAACTTTTTCTCCCTCTGAAATGTAACCGGTGCAGTCCGTGGACTGTTGCCTAAGCGGAGGGCGCCTTTTCCTTGCGGCGCAGCAGGTGACAGTAGAAAGCCGCCTCTGGCTCGCGTGGCCGTGGAGAGGGAGAGACCAGGCCGTGTCCCCAGCTGGTTGTCAGCCCTGCACTTCTCCCCCACTCTGGACAGGATGGGATCCTTCGTCCCTCCTCCTCTGACCCCAGCATCTCTTTCACCCAATGGAAAGTTATTTGTGAGCCAGGGCCAAGGTAACTACCTGGGCTTTTTATTTCCAGGAGTCCGAAGATAATAAAACTCTCAATCTGAAACTTGAAAAGAAAAGAAATCTTGCATATTCACACCACTGTTCAAATCACCTGCCTCTCTCTGGAACCGACTTTCTCTAGGATGGACATACATCCAACTTGGATGTGTGCTTTCTAGGCTAACTGGACACCCTTCTGAAAAGAAGGGAGAAGTGTTACCAGGTTCTGATTAATTTGCCCCTGGCTTTTTGTGTAACTCTGAATGAGTCACTGTTCTTTTGTAAATACAAGGCGAAATCTCACAGATTCATGGAAGTTTAGAGGATTTTGGCTCACCATGAACAGAGTGCTTGTGTAATCCCCGTTTGGCCCCAATTCTGGCATGAGCTGGGGTAGTGAGAATAGGAGAACATCATGCAAGTGAATTGGTCAAGTGACAGTAATATTAGTTAGAACATTCAGGACTTGGTTTAGAGCCCTAATGCGTGTTTTATATTTTATAAAACACTAACATCTAAAGGTGGAAACACAAGCAGCAAATTTCACAGATACAGCCTGATAAGGACCTGAGCTTCAAGGTGTCCTTTACCTTTCCTGACCTGCGTTTTCTTCTTTCTTTCTTTCTTTTTTTAAATATGTCTTTATTGATTTCAGAGAGAAGGGAGAAGGGGAGAGAGAGAGATAGAAACATCAATGATGAGAGAGTCATTGATTGGCTGCCTCCTGCACACCCCCAGCTGGGAATGGAGACCAGAACCCGGGCGTGTGCCCTGACTGGGAATCGAACCACAATCTCCTGGTTCGTAGGTCGATGCTTAACCACTGAGCCACGCCAGCCGGGCCATTTTCTTCTTTCTTGCCTCTGTTTTCAGTTCACATGACCCAGTTGTCGGTCCCTTCCTGCTTTCTCCCCTATGCTCACATTTACAAAACTCCAGACTCCTCACCAGCTTTTCCAGGCTATCTGATCATACCAAGCATTTTTTGTAGTTTTATCAAATATTTGCTGGGTCCTGGGGCAAGGGTCACCCACCATAATACGTAGCATATTACTCAGCAAATTTAGCTTAGGTATCTTTCTTCTCCAAAGACTGTCTGCCTGGGCTCCAGGCCTTGACCTCCCTCTGTCTTCACCACCCTCTCCCTCATCCCCAGAGCTTCCAGCTCTGCTCCTCCTTCCTGACTCCTTTTCTGGCAGAATGGCATTCTTCTTGTGAAATGGGGCTGCCAGCGCCTAAGGTAGCCCCTGAGGAATCTCTCTGTCCTGCAGAGAGCTTCACAGTGTCATAAAGTGTCTGCCCAGCAGGCTCTTTGTTCCTGCCTGAAATTCTCCTGCCAGCAAGTGCTCCACTTATTACATTTTTGCTTGGTAAGTCATTTATGCAATGAGCTGAGACCTCTTGGTTAAACAGTCCCTGAACTATAGTCTAGTTAAGTACACAGGCACTGGAGCGGATAGCCCAGGTTCCCATCCCAGTTTCTCTTTACTAGCTGTTCTTGGGCCAGTCACTTTCTCTCTTTGTAGGCTTCAGCTTTCTAATCTGTAAAGCGGGATTAGTAATCGAGTCAACTCTATAAAGTTGTTGTGAAGATTAAATGAGCTCAGAAAGAGGGCTCGGAACACGGCTTAGCACATGGTCACTGCTCTGTCAGTGACTGTCATTACTCTGGGTACAGGGTCAGATGAGAGCCCTGCTCTTTGGGGAGAGTCGCCTAGCGTACTGGAAACATTCCACTCCTTTGTTCCCTGAACATACCATTCACTTTTCCTACATCTAGATTTGCTCCTACTGTTAACTGCACGTGAAGTAACTAACTTTCGGCATTTTCACTTGTCACATTTCAAGATGCTTTGTTCTCCCTAAGCCCTCCCTGACCTAGCCTGCCTAAAATAACCTCTCCCCCCTTCTAGCTCTCAGCAGATTCCTCTTTGTGTTGTAGCAGTTTGTCTCATCCCCTTCTAATTCCGCACCTGGAAGCCAGGTACCATTTCTTACTCGCTGAAAGTCTCTTAAATATAGAGGCTACATTTCCACGTAACCGACCCTTTTCCATTTTCTATTCTAGATGGTGACTGCAGTAAACCGGAGGGAAAAAAGACCAGCGAGGCAGCTAAGGGGATGGCCTGTAGGCCTCACTGGTTGTTGGCAGGGGCTGCCTTTGGCAGTCTTGTGTTCCTCACCCACTGGATTTTCGGAGAAGTCTCTCTTGTTTCCAGATGGGCAGTGAGTGGGCATCCCCACTCAGGGCCAGATCCAAACCCATTTGGGTGAGTTTGGGTTTTTGGGTGAGTTTGGGTTTGGAAATAGGCTGCTATGGTTGAAGGAGGAAATACCTTCTTTGTTGAGCAGCTGGATCTCTGCCACATTTCCAATTCTATTTTCTTTAGACATTAGGAACGTTGCATGAACTCATTGTGTTCTCTGGAGATGGAGGAGCCAGAAGGGTGTTGGCTGAAGGATTGCTACAGGGTGAATGAGGGAGAGCTGAGGACTGTGCACAGCTAAGCGAGAGGTTCTGGGAGCTCCTGCATGGGCATCCTGAGGCTCAGGAATCCCTGCATAGAAGACCATGCTCAGTGGCAAGGAAGGCAGGGCACTCCCCGGCCATTTTCTCTAGAAACTTTCTTCCACCCGCCCTATTACAGTAATGGGCACTTGGTAGGATGGGACCAGATGCCCTGATGAGGGACTGGGTTGGCAGGCTGGACATAGATCTTGATTTTCTGCAAAGGACGGAAGCCATGGGAGATCTCTGCATCCTCTGGTATTTTGGGACTTGCTCCAACCATGGGGTACCCAAGGAGCCAGCAGCCTTGAATTCAAGTGCTGGTCCCTGTGCTCGGTCCTCATTACCCTCTCTCTACTCTTCCTGACACCTCTTTTCTCCAGTGGTGAGTCCTCGCCATTCATGTTAAAAATTGGAGGGACTTTGAAAACATCTGCTTCAGATACCTGTTTTCTCTTAAAGTGCTGAAATTCCCAGATTTGGATACATGTAAAAAACTGTCCCCAGCAAACATCTGGGCATATCCCACAGGCGTCTCAAGCTCAGCATGTCCACATCTGGACTCAGTAGTTCCCAGTCCCCCAACATGTTCTTCCTTGGTTCACTCTGCCAAGTCATCCTGGGATTCCGAGTCTTCCTCATTTTCTGCACCTAGTTGGTCATTAAGTTCAGTCAGTTCTACTACTTCTCTGGAAGAATCTACCTTCCTCCCTGTCTGCAACCCAGTCTGCCTTAGTGGAGGCCTCACCGTCTTTCATCCATGCTATTGCTATTGTCTTCTAATGGTCCCTCTTCAGCGTGGCCTTCTCCACACTGCCCCAGAGTGAGTTCTCTAAAATGCAAATCTAATTCCATCACTCCTTTGCTTTAAACCTTTCAGATGCCCCCCCATATCAGGTCACATGAGACAGGATCTGTACCCCCTCCCCTTACTTTGACAAATGCTCCCTACCTGGCTTCACCCGAGCTGACATCACTTTCAGTTCCTTGGAAATACCAGATGCCCCAGCCCTCCATCTCAGTGTATGTGCTTGTTCCTCTGTCTGGGCTGCCTTCCCTGCTTTGATATCCTGGCAAGCTCTTACCCTTCAAAACCCAGCTCAAGCATTTCCTCAGTGAAATCTCTGATTCTCCCAAGGATTCCTTTATGCCACTTACTCTCTTGAATCTCCACTCCCACATATCTCTTATTATTACTCTGTATTACAATTTTTTAAAATAAAGAGTTTTTGATGTCTTCCTTCCTTTCTAGACACCATGCTCCTGAGGTCAGGGAATGAGAAAAGAAACTAATATTTATGACTTGCTCTGTGTTGGGCACAGCAGGAATTTTACATATGCTGTCTCATTCAGACTCTGTATCTCTTTAATCCTGGATGCTCTAGCATGTCTGGGAGGAAGAGAGAAAGGAAGAAAGGCACAGAGGAGGAGAGGGGAAGAGAGGAGTTTATTCTCACATATAAAACTACAACTCCAAAGTTCCCTGTGAACCAAGCATGAGTTGTGTGAAAGAGCAAAAAGAGAGCTGGCCCGGCAGCCCGAGGCCAGGTGTGCAGGCCGGAGTCCTGGTTGGCCAGCAGCTCACCTGACTTTGGACCAGTGACTTGACATCCCTGGCCCTGTTTTCTCACTGTACAATGACAGGTTTCTTTTGAGACATTTTGTAATTCTGTATGTTGGGGCAAGACATTGAAGATGGAGACATAACTCAGAGAGCAGCATTCCCTAACTGTGTTCTGTGGAACGTGGATTTCTTGAGATGTCAGTAGGTACTCTGAGAGGGAAAACGTCCAGATCAAATAGACTGAGGAAATATCACATCTCATATTCCTTTCTTTGTGCTTCACGAGGCACATGCGCATGTCAGAGACTCTTGGGAGTTCCTTAAACTTATTGGAACATGGCATTCCTTCTTTAGAACACCTGTTCATGTCTCATAAAACTGGCGTTTCTTAGAACCCCTGTTTGAGAAATGTACCATCACCCATGACCACCATAGTAGGAGTTGCTTTAGAAAGTTCACTAGATTTGACTTAAGGGGATGGGTCAGAGGTAAGCTTTGATGGGATAGAGATGTGAGAGATGAGAGGAGGCGAGAGAGAGAGGCTCAGGGGCGCTAGAGAGACTTGGGGAAGCTGAAGGATCTCTCAGACACAGACCTGGGGGGGATGAGGGAGCAGGACAGACTGTGTCTTAGCCACATGTTCCCATTTCCCATCAGTCCACCCCAGGCTCGCGACCCGCTTAATCTTACTCTTACTTTCTGTAGCGCTTTCTAGCTTTGATATCCTGCGCTATTGGTTAATTGTGTTTATTATCTCTCCCCCTCCTCACACTGGAACATGAGCCCTATGGAGGAAAGGGAGCTTTGTTCACGGATGTGTCTGTCCCTAGCCCCTAGCAGAGAGCCTGGCACATAGTAGGTCCTCACAAACATTTCTTGTTGCATTGGGGATAGAAAAAGATCAGCGGTGTCCTCCATGGCCCTTTGTCACATCTGGTCTTCTGTGGACCCAGGATTATCCTTAACCTTAAGATGTGGGCACAGGCAAGAGAGCAGCAGGGAGTGAGGGGGCATCACTCCAGAGCCAGAGTTCCTTTTTTTGTTATTCCATTTCCCCTCTCCTCCCAGGGATATTTTCCCATTGCTTTTAGATAGAGCGAGGGGGAAAAAGAGAGAGGGAGAGAGAAACATCGATGTGAGAGAGACACATAGATAGGTTTCCTCCCGCACACACCCAACCAGGGCCAGGGGATGAACCCTCAACACAAGTACCTGCCCTTGACCAGGCATCAAACCTGCGACAGTTCTGTGTGCGGGCTGGGCGCCTTTTTGAAAAGATCCTTAGTCCTGGGCACACTGCAATGTATGGCCTTCGTCACTTAAGTGCTCTTTCCGCCAGTGTTCCCCTCTGCAAAATGGGCCTGATATAGCACTTCCCTTACAGCCTCACGAGGATTAAATGAGCTAATGTAATTAAACAAAAAACCTGTAAGCAGTGCCTGCTAGGTAGTAAGTGCTATGTTTTTTAGCTTATATTTGTATTACAGCTGTTATTGCTGCTTGGTTTCCCCACGCAAGTTTAGTTAAATTCTTTTTTCCTCCTCTTACAAGTTTTTGCTAAAGAAGCAAAAGAATGAAATAGTGTGTGGTTGTTTTAAAAACACATAACTATCAATTATCCAATTGACACAGGTCCCAGGAAGGCGGAGGCTATACTGAAGCAGAGGAAAGAGAGAAAAGAGGCAAACAAAACAGGAACTATTCCCAATGACTTTTTATTTTCATCTTCGGCAGAGTCATTTAAAATGAGTCGCATGCCAGTATGGACTATAACTTAATAATATGAGAAAACGCAATTACTTTATCGAGCATATAGACTACAGATCTCATTTATTCCTAGTCAGAGCTGCTATTACCTCAGTGTTCTGAGTGTATAGAATATGGGCTCCCGTGGGCTCTCAATATCTCATTGGTTATTTCACACTCATATTATCTCTTGGGTGTACCTAGAGGTAGGAGAGATATTTCTCTTTTATGTATGGGACAATGAAATATTAATAATGTCAGCTGTCTTATGGCATGTCCTTTTTTTTTTTTTTTTTTTTTTTTTTT